AATAATTAATTATAGGTTTCTATAAATGAATGAAAGTATGTAAATAAATAGGCAAGCATTGTATGTGAATAATTTCGACCACTGAATTGTCAAAGAGTAGTATCACAGAAGTAACGGGGTTTTCAATAAGAGCGCCACAAAATTTTTTTCAAATTAAACAAAAAACGGTTTGAGATATCAATGAAACTCTTTATTCCTGTGAAAGTACAGTTGACGCCAATTCGCCTGTCGATACCTCGATTTATTTTGCATGGCCACCACCGCAGGCATGCGTGACCGGATGTTCAACCCAATTTTACTTTTGAAATTCGTACGAAGTTTATGAATCTTGGCTGGATTGCATAGACCATAGACTTGACGTAGATCCACGGCCAAGGTGGCCAATTGACTGGGTCATATCGTGAGATAACACGTTCAGCAAACTTGGTTTTCAATAAATCGATTGTGACAATCACTGTGTGGCTTGTGGCGTTGTCCTGTTGGCACCACATATTGCCCAAGTCCATAYCATCCAATTCGGGCCGAAAATACTCGGTTATCATTGACCGGGTGCGATTGCCACTCACAGTAACTTAGCGGTCTTGATCATCACGAAAGAAGTACGACCCGGCAATGCCCCCCGTCGATAAGCCCCACCAATCCGTAATTTTTTCAGGTTGCAGTGGGGACTCATGAAGTATGCGTGGTTTGCTCCCTGACGAAGCCATTAAGCCAGAAATGAGTCACATCGCTTAAAATGATTTTTCGATGAAACTCCGGATCATTTTCAAGTTGTTGCTCAGCCCAATTCACGAACATACGACAACTCTGGTGGTCAAGCGGCTTCAGTTCTTTCGTCAATTTGATCTTGTAAGGATGTAGGCCAAAATCTTTTCGCAAAATTCGCTTGAGAATGACGTATGGGTCTTTTGGGTCTTCCAAAATTGATGCGATAGCGGCAGCRATATTCTCGACGCATGGSCACTTCTGTGTCTCACTTACACGGGAACCTTTCGGAATAAAATTTTTCCACTAGACGCTTAATTATTGATCTGGMAGGATGATTATGACGCTTATAAATTGGACGTAGCGCTCTTAAAGTTGAAGYCACTGACTCCAAATTTCGGTAATACATTTTAATAATTTTGACACGTTGTTGGATCGTGCATCTTTCCATAATGTAAAGACAAACCTTACTGAAGAGAAATGTCAAAAGAGCGAGAAAAAATATGGCGTCGTTTGTTGTCCCCATCGRTGTACTATTGTTSCGTATATTGGATAGCTTTGCTTTTAGTGGAAATAACWYTTTCGTMTTCCTCTATATTCTAGTTTCCAGGAAAGAATTAATTACTTTAAGGCTTYGATGCTTATGTTTCAGCTTCTATAAAATTCCTTTAAACAACTTTCCGCAATCTTTGGTCGCCCCTAGCGAACTTCATGAACCATATTTTGTGGCTAGACATATGTATCCACCCTTTTTTTGTAATAAACTAACTTAATTAGCAATAAAGTCTTAAGTTGCCTTAAGAATGACACCCGATCATTTAAACAGCAGTAGAGATTGTGAATCTTTGAAAACAATCACCGTATATTCCAAAAGCAAAGAACACTCTCAATGATGATTATTCATTATTTAAAAAAAGTATTCCTGTTGCATTTATTACTTCTTTTCTCTTTACTACTACAAGCATGTGGCACGTTCAATGCTTCGTTGATGTCACACCAGTCGCGCTATTAATAGAGACGAAATGCAATCTGCATAATTAAATTATTCGAAGAAGTAAAACAAAACACAATTTCAAGGACGCAACTGTGAATGTTGTGAGACAAAAAGAAACGCTTTTTGCGAAAAGTCGAACCATAACAACAAAAATGAAATGCATACTATACGAGTTTGTGACAAATGGAATGCGAAGTGCAAGCTTTTTCTCTGCGAAAGCATTGAGATAGGGTATAAAAAAACACGATTCACCTAAGTATGTTTCAATTGATCGGGCTTCACAATAAAATACAACGCAAAAATTAACATTTTTATACAAAAATTAAAAATTTAAATGCAAATCGGATAAATAAAATTAGAATAAGAAAGACAGACAAACCGAAGCTGAACTCGAAAAATTGGTAAATGTTTGATCATGGATTTGATTCGGTTGTACGAGGTGTGTTCAAAAAGTATCGCGAATTTTGAATTTTCGCGTGTTACGTATATTCGATTTTCGAATTTTTTGTGGCGTTATGTTGGTACCTTGGACCGAAGCAACGTTTATTGGTGGTACAAAATGTTCTCAGAAGGCCGAGAAGATGTGACAAAAATTAGCTTTTGCACCACGATAACGCCCCTTCTCACACATTGTTGCTTGTGCGCGACTTTTTGGCCAGAAACAACACACTAATGATGCCGCAGCCACCGTATTCACCAGATCTGGCCCCCTGTGACTTTTTCTTGTTCCCTAAACTGAAGAGGCCCATGAAAGGACGACGTTGCGCTTCTCTTGACGAGATAAAGATGGCATCGAAGGAGGAGCTGAAGAAGATAAAAAAACGATTTTTTGAAGTGCTTCGAAGATTGGAAAAACCGTTGGCACAAGTGTATAATAACTCATGGGGATTACTTTGAAGGGGGGACAAAATAGATATTCATGAATAAATAAATAATTTATGAAAAAACACAAAATTCGCGACACTTTTTGAACACACCTCGTATATAGGGTGTTACAACAACTGAACAGCGCAATGTTTTTGTTTATTAAATTGATAAAGTCATAAAGCATGAAATGTTTTATCCGAAATATGTAATTTGCTTTTTGATATTTTTGACAAAATTATTTACGTTTGAAAACTTTAGGAAGCTTTTTTTCTGGAAACTAGAGGTGGCAATACTACCTCAACAGAAGTTACAGTAACCATTATAACGCTGATATCGGGCCAATCTTAAGAGTAACTGTTGCTGGGAAGCTGGTCTTTAGTGAAGGTTCTGTAAGTTTGAGAACTAAAAAGTTCAGCAGACGAGTTTTGCAGCCGAAAAAAGGCGATAAAAACAGGTTATAAAAATAAAAAATTATTCTCCCAATCAGCTGATAAATGGGTTTAAAATATATTCATTTTTAGTCAGCACGAGTTTAAGGGGTCCCATGTTTCCAAATCACATCGCTTCGCTARCACCCAGCAGCATCAATATGTTTACGTTAGTGATTTAGGAGAGGGTACAATAGACCGAAGGTCGCGGTGTATTCATCGTTTATCAATCAATCAAAGGGTCACCAATATCTTTCGATACCAATTGGGTAACCCTGTTCGCTAGCTATAATACATATATTCCTAAGCCTACATGTGCTTGTGTACTTTTCTATGTATTTAATTATTGAAAAAGTATTCAAATAGGCAAATTAATTAATTTCCGGTTGTGATTTTTGTGCTTCTTATACGAAGTTAATTTCGAGTTTCGCGGTGCGTGTGTTTTGTTCTGTGCTTCTTTATTCTGGTTTAGGCTTGTTGCCTATTACACCAAATTTGGCAAACAAAATGGTATGAATGTGTATATAAAGTAGGTGCGTTCGCTATACTCAACAATCCAAGGCTTGCAAGACACAGGGCACATATTCTGCGGAATTATTATTGAAATATGTAATTGCATGGAAGCTTCACTACTTACTTACGCAACTCAGTAAAGCGAAACTGACCCACAACGCTAATGAYTTGGCAGATTGGTCTGCAGTACTGTGCAGTTGCCGGTGATATCTAAGTACGAGTATAAGCGTTTTGCGAWAGGAGCATWAGCTTTTTTATGAACWGGGAGTTAGTTTTTTATATTWCGGTCCGATTTCCATAGAAGATTTGACTCAGGTGTAGAACTATTTGTAAGCAGAAAAGTTGGAGGTGATCGATTTTGAAAATAAAAATTTATGTTTTTAGTTTTAAGAATTATTAATTGACTCGAAATAACCCAGAATAGTAATAGTTAAAAAAAACTTGTATTTTTGTACTATTAGCTATGAGCAAAGTGCCAAAAGTTGATTTTATGCACAAAATATTTTAATTTAAGCGGATRTTATATTTCGTCATTGCAAAACATTTAAAATGTACAAGATTTGTCATTATTAGCAAATAGGATTTTTCCTTGACTTCGTTTTTATAATTTTTTTTTTTTTTTGATTTTTTTGGTGCTGCTGAATCAAATTCACAAAATCCCACACGGAAAAAAATCCTAAGCGCGTTCATTAGTTGTAAAAAAAAAAAGTGTAAAGAAACGTCGATCAAATTCACCAAAACGAAATCGCTAATGACCACAACAACAACTTACACATATGAACACTCGTCACTTAGTACACACGGGAATTATTGATTGCGCATGCGTAGCGACTTTGTTGCAGGTGCTAATTGCGCTTGGCCCGCCAGCAGGTTGAGCACGCCTGCTCATTGAATATTTGGGCTACGCATGCGGCAAATGGTGAACAAGCAAACATGAAAATTAAATATTAAAAGAAAACCACCAAAATATTTTCAGTTTTTTGTCGTTAASTTGTGGTCATTACGTGTGCAAACACCCAACGAAGTGACGTAAGAAAGTGAAGTGAATGCAATAAAAAAAACTAAAAAATAAATAAAATATARAAACAAAATAAAAAAAAATCAATAAAATAAAAAAGCAGAATTACAATGTAATACAAACAATAATTTTCACAAATATACTAATACTTGAGTTATTTGAAAGTCTTGACGAAATAATTAATATTTTCAGCAGCGTTAACATGTGAAATTCGAAAAGTAGAAACAAAAACAAAAACAAAAACAAATACGCAAACAAAAGTAATAATAATAATAGCAATAACAATAAAAGAAACGAGGCATGATAGCTCCCTTACTTTCACTTGCATGGCGACCTTTTATAACGGAAAATACTGCCAAAAACAAAGTGTCGAAACGTGATATCGAAACTTAATTAAGGAAAATAAGCCCCTCAAGCTCTCTTTGGGTGTTCATCGAAGCGAGGCTGGCGCTTGATTTGCCCGAAGCGCCGAGTAATGCAAGAAAATGACAAATTCTTCTGCGCATACAAACGCTACAAAATCTGCCCCAAGATGGAGATACCAACAACAAAGTATCTAGCAGATTACTTATACGTCGTGCATGAGGATGTGCCATTCCGTTATTATCGCAAAGTAAGTGTGTTGGTGTGGCGAGTGCATTAACTGTTAACTCTACTTATTAAGATTATAACTGTTATTTATTGCATTAAATTTTCATTATCATTTCACATAGCCCACGCAAGTTCGCTTTGTGTGGTTGTAGTAGTGTGTGTTTCGTGTTCATTCGACTGCAGTGATAAATCAAAATGCAAAGTGCGGAAAACACTTTTGCTCTCTTTTAATATCATTACAACATTTAAAGTGCTTTAAGCAATAAAAATTAAATATTTTTATTCAATAAAATACTTAGTTAATTGCGTAACGTAAAAGCTCAAATAATTATAATGATTGGTAATTTAAAACTATTGAATCATCTTAAGTGATCAGGCAAATGAATCTTTTCGTCGAACATYTGCATGCGTAGGACATAATTTAAGACGTAGTAATTGGTGGATTGTAAAAGTTTGGTGAATGTATCGAGTACTACTACGTCTACAAAATGGAGCTATTCACAA